GCCCATCTATGTTCTGCTGGAGCCTGTGAAGGGACACAGCCTGCTGATCCAAGGCTGCAGGATCTCCATGACACAGGGCAACAACAGGCTAGCCAAGAGGAGCTCCAGTGAGGGCCCAGTATCAATGATGTAGCAGAAGCCAGAGGCTCCAACTAGACCAATACCCTTGCCAATGAACACTCGCAAGTAAAGATGTATGGACTGAAGGGTAAACTGTGTGACTCACTGTGTCACACGGCAGCTTCCATGACAAGATTTTTTTTTTTTTACTTTCTTTCAAATTTTATTGTATTTTATTTTGTGGGGGAGGTTGCAAGGGCAGAGAGTGGATATGAAGGAATGGGGAGATGAATGGGATTGAGATGCATGATGTGAAATACATAAAGAACAAATAAAAAGAAAGTTGAAAAATGCCACCACAGCCTCAGAGTTGAGTCTCACTCTTCCCTTCTTTCGTAGCCACAGTCTCTCACTCTGCACTGTGGGGTTTTCCTCTCAGGCCACTTGAGCTGTCAAATACTCCCATTATCTATTCCGTTTTGGTGAGTCCAAAGTGTTGTATCTAATTCACTTTCTATCCTAACTTGTATTACCAACCAAATACTATCTTTTGATATCTTTCAAACTTACACACTTTACACCTCTTTAGTGAGTTTCTTTTCTGAATTTGTTAACAAGGAAAACTATATAACTATCTAGTCTTCAGCTCCCTCAGAGATCCAAGAAGGAAATAATATTTACTGAGCAGGAAGTACAAATAAGAAACTTCTAAAAAAATGTGAGAAATGACAGAAACAGCTGGCTGCCTGAACAGCCACCCAAGGTTCTTCTGCAACATTGGGGCATCCATCTTTGGCCTACAGGCCTAGACTATCTGACAGACTTTCCTGGGAAGCAGGCTTTTCTGAAGGGCTGTCCTACCTTGTCTTGGCAAGGTTCGTCAGTCCTTTCTTTTGTGTCCTGCTTATCCATTTGGATGGCATACTGTCAGCAGTTGAGGCAAGGGCACTTTCTTGCCCAGTGGCTAAGTTTTGCCACAAAGAAAGTAAAGTCCATATGGAGTTTCTTCAGTGCCCATCATCTTCTCTGAAGTGTATTGGTGCTATCAGGAGCAGACATGTCTCATAGTCATAAAAAAGAATCTATATTATTAAAACATCTTAAATGCCATATTCTGTAGATCTCTGAAGTGTTTGAAGATGACATGTCTATCTAAAATATATTTCTTTTTGACCTTAAAACATACCTAACCTGACTACAAGTTTGATTGTAATGACTAACTGCAAACTTGCATTTCTTTATATACTAATTAGTTGTTAATAATAACTTTCAAGGACTAATAATTTGCATTACATTGTTAAATGAGCTGTATAGGTACAATACCTTGAACAAGAGTAGAAATACATGTACAGTATATGTTCCAACAAAAAATAATCTCAACTTTGTATCTGTATACATAATTTTATACAATATACAAAAATCCAATCCAATGTAAATATTTAAAACTAATAGTTGCTTTTTAAAAGTAGATTCAATAATCTAACTTTTTATCTTATCATATCCATATCTTCCCTTTTTTCTTTTCAGAGTAGATTCAATAGTCTACCTTTTATCTTATTATATCTATATCCTCTTTTTTCTTTTTCTTTTCTTTTTTCAGACAAGAGCCCTGAATCTAATCTCCTTTGTTTAGCTTTTTTCCTGACCATTATCAATTAACAACTTGGAATCAACCATTCTAAACAATGACAATTATCCATAACCCAATGAAAGGCCAAAAACCACCCACCCCCACCTCTTGGGAATGTGGGCATCATGTTCTTAAAATTACTTCCTGCTGTCTGGGGGCAAAGGCATCTTTAGGGGATCCTGAAAAGAAAAATTTTGGGTTAATTGTCAAGTCCTGGGAGAGTTAGCTATACATTTGTCCAGTCTCTGGGAAAGTGCAGGGCTTGTCTCAAGTCCTAGCTAGAGTAGTCTGTGAGGCTGGATCATCTCAGCTAGCCATCTCGAAATTGTCCTGAGAAGTATGTAGTCCAAAGCCAATCTTTGGTGGTGTTGGTCAGCTTAATGGCATTATCATAGTTCATGTGGCACCATTATTGTGGGGTCCCATCATCTTTTTGGAGATTTCAAAGTCACTGTCAGGTGGTGGTCATGGTTAACTGCAGAAAACTGATAGAGACTCAAACCCAAAATCATGTACAGGAAACTAGATGAAGCCTTTTTTCTAGAATTAGTTAGTACTCTATATGACCATTAATATCATGACAAAAGTTTATAATATATATTTTAATATTATAAATTTTTATATAAAATTCATACCTTAAGAAAAGTTTTAAAGAGTCAAAATAAAACCAAAGGATCATGAGATTAATAGCAATAGAATAGTCCCTTAATTTTGGTTTTCCTTTTGTCTCATATCAGGTGGCTCTTCTGACATGATACAGATGTTTTGCATTTTCTTTTAACAAGCATGCTTGAGTTTAGAGAAGGAGATAGCCACACTCCAACTAGAAAGCCAGCTTTAATTTTTAATTGAACTGGGACTACATAAAGACCATTTGCATTGTGTCTGTAGAGAACAGCATAAACAAACATTTAGGAAGACTTATGAAATTTTATCCTGTCAGATATGTGATATACCAATAGGCCAATTTACTCTTTTTCTTGGGACATTTATTCTGGATGATTTTATCCTTTTTCTTCAGATGTCTCATTTGTCCAGTGTTCTTCAGATTCCTTAGCCTTTATTCTCCTGAGAGGCAATAACAAAAACCCTTTCCCAAGCCTAACTTTGGGGAGGTTCCCTTTTGGTAAGTTATATCTGATTAAATGAAAAGCATTTGTTAGTGGTGTAAATTAGTTTAAATTGGATGGTCATGCTGGTTGATGAACTATCACCTCTTCTAATTAAGAGGTCTCTCTTGTTCAAATCAGCTTTTCTTCTCCTGTGTAAACAAAAGCAAAACCTTGTCCCCGACGTAATACATATCCTGGTTTCCATTCTGAAGTCAGCACATCTTTAAAGTGTATAGGCTGATTTAATTCTGTAGTTTTTTCTATTATCCAATGTCTCTCTGCAGCTGTTGTTATAATTATATAGTTAAAATTATAGTCTTCCTTAGTTATGATAAAAGATAAATTAGATATGAAACTTTAGACTCACAAATATAGGACAGATAATAGAATATTTTCTTTAATTTTGCCAAATACAAGTAGAATAGATATTGTAACTGTAATTCTTGCTTGATAATTCTTCTACTATAAGTAATTTTACTATGTTAAAGTTAAAACCTTCCTTTTTGATTAGATGGAAAGGGGGAAGTGCTGTGGGAAGTGATGTCTTTCTGCACTCTGTGAATCTGTGTTGCTCTGATTGGTTGATAAATAAAGCTGTTTTGTCCAATGGCAAGAAAGCTTACAGCCAGGAGGGAAAGCCAGGCAGAGATACAGAGAGAAGGGTGGAGTCATGGAGACTCAAACCACGCCACCCAAGGAACAAGATGCCCGCAGACTGGTAACACCATGGCCACACGGCAAATTATAGATTAATAGAAATGGGTTGTTGTAAGAGCTAGCTAGCAAGAAGCTTGACCTATAGACCATACAGTTTGTAAGTAATATAAGCCTCTGTGTGTCTACTTGGGATCAAGTGGCTGCAGGGCAGGGGTGGGAGGGATTCGTCCTGGCCACAGGGTCAGGCAGGACCAGAGAAACTTCTGGCTACACATGTCTAATAAAAAGCTGAGCCTGTTGGTGGGCGGGCCTCAGTTGTATGCCATAGGCACAGCTTCTTCAGGTTTCAAAAATAAAATAAAAATAAAAAATAACAAAGACCTTATGCTATTTTAGCAATCATAAAAGTAACTGGCTGTAAAATTGGCAGAGAGAGTAAAATTTGTCAGAGGTCTTTGTGGAGTGGATTAGGAACAGCACAATTTAATCTTCAATGGAAAGAAATGGTATCAGGCCATGAGATGGTCCAGTGGTTAAGCAAGCTTGCCACCAAGCTTGACGACCTGAGCTCAATTGCCCAAACCCACACAGTGGAAGAAGAGAACTAACTTCTTCAAGTTGTCCTCTGATCTCCCCAACACACATACACACAATAAATAAAAATTTAAAACCTTTTAAAAGAAATTGTGTTCTTCCTATGAAGACGAAAGGAAGATGGCAGATGAACTGAGCAAATTGGAAGATTTAGGGCCAGATTCTGTTTTCCTTGTGAAGCAGGAGATATGGTCAGCCATTGAGAAGGATGGAAATGGGGTAACAAAGGCGTCACAAAAGCAAAAGAGGATTTTAATTTCAGGTCCTGTGAACTTCTTGAAATTGTGTTCCTGTTTGTGTACATACTTTTTGTCTATAGATTTGATCAATTCTCAGAGGAGTCTGTGATCTGTTCTTCCTCAGAACTGGGAATTCTCAAAGGAGTCTGTGATCTGTTCTTCCTCAGAACTGGGAATGTGGTCCCTAAAATGAGCTGCGCCTTAGCTTTGACTTCTGTGGCTGGGTGGGTGCCTTGGTCTACTTTGCAAGGGGCTCATGATGGTATTTTGTTCCTTTGGCGACATCTTGTGGTAAAATGGGTGTATTACTAGATAAGTTAAGAATTGTGGATCTGATGGGTAGAATTGTAAAAGACTTGAGAGGTTAGTGTCTCAGAACTTATGAAAAATATAATTATTATTATATGTACCATACAATGTTGAGACATTGTTAAAATACATAACTTGTAAGCCATGGTCAGTGTTGGATCATTGTATTCTGGGAATTAAGTTTCTGGAAAGGAAAGATCCCTTCTCCCTTAGATGACTCCAATGTGCAATCAGGTCCCAGTACCTCTAACTTAGGTCCTTGCTCTTCACGGCGTGATTGGTGGGCCAGTAGCAATGGCATCATGTGGAACTTGTTAGACACACAGACTCTAACGCCCTGCCCCCAATGTCCTGAATCAGCCAGAGTCATGTTTCGCAAGCAGCTCACTGAATGTTAAATTTTCAGAAGAAGTGCTCTCATGGAAAACAAGAAGGCTATGCAGCATACACAAGGTAGGAACGGCACCCAGCGAGTGGGTTTCTCCTTTCTAATGACCCCCAGCTACAGGATGTGTGTTACTTCATGACCCTGTTGGAAGACTTCTATTGTAAGTAATTCCATCTCTCTATTCTGCCTTGTTCCCACAATCTCTTTTAAAGCATTTGAGGACAATAAATTATTTGTCCCTAAATCTTTCTTCTTTGAGCCCCCCTCCCTCCTAAACATCCTGTTTCTTAAGTTTATATACATCACTTTTGCAGAACTTTTTCAGGTAATTCCACAATAAAAATGGCTGTCAGAACTGAGGGCGATATGGGAAGCCCCAGCAAGCTGGACTTGACCATCTATCCTTATAGGTCAATTACATGAATGGTAATAGTAAAAGGCAAAAAGGTGAGACTTATTCAATGTTGCTGCATTGGGAAGAAGTCCAGGACTCCTCAAGTCCGTATTCAGGGTCACTACATGAGGCTTGGCTTTCGATAGGAAGCAACTAAGATAACTCATTAGTCCTGGTCAAGGTGGGTCCCAACACCACCGCTAGGCTCCAGTCTCTCCAGCACGGCACTCAGAGAAGTCAGACCCAATGAACTCCCTTTCTGGGGGACAGTCTCCCTCTCTGGCTGGCACTGGGCTTCAGTCTTCTCCTTCTTCCAGCACTGGAGTCCAGGGGAAATTCCAGTTTCCTGGGGGCCTAGTGTCTCAGTGCCCAGACAGGCAAAGAAGGTTAGAAACAAGTGTCTGCTCAGAATATCCCCAGCCCTGCGGGCATGGTTACATGCCGAACAGTTTTCTTCTAGTAATCGCCTCTTGTTCCGCTCAGTGTCTTATTTGTCAACTGTGTTTACAGTGGAAGAGAATCCCTTCTTTCTCACCATGGGAAAGGCAAACAGCCACGTAGACCTAGGAGGCTGCCAAGTTTTGTGGGCAATAAAGGGGCAAGCTAGTTAGCTATTAACCAGCAGAGAGCACAATTTCCCTCTATACCTTGACCTTGGTGCCTCTCTTCTCTGGAGACTCGTTCCCTGACGTTTCCACCCAGGGTGGTGAGGTGGTGAAGGCAGGAAGTCATTCCCCTTCCTCTCTGTAACAGGATCCAGGCAGCAGCAGTTGGAAGAAACACGGGGCAGCTTCCAGTGGAGGGAGGTCTCAGGCAGGGGGCCAGTCAGTGGACCTGGGGTGGGTAAAGCTGGAGGGGGAAATTTCCAGAAACTGATGATTGAAATTCATTTTGTCACCTTGTGATTTACCAGTGGCCTCTCAAGGGACTGGCATCCTCGTTATTTTGTACTTAAAGGTACAGAATTGTGAAAATATTAAGATATGTCTGCGAAAGCTTGAGGAGCATCAGAGTTATATGAGGGCCAATGGAAGAGAAAAGGTGACCTGAGGTAAATTAAAGATAACGGCCAGCTATTCAGATGAAGCATTTCCCACATTATCACCCAAAGCTGACACTGTTATGTAAAATCACAGTTTTAACTTAAAACAAACAAAATACAAAAGTTAGTTTTGAAACAAGGTCTCACTGTGTATCCCCAGGTGGCTTGGGGTTTACTATATATTCCAGATTGGTCTGAGTGGGTGACTGTCCTCCTGCCTCAGCCTCCTAAGTGCTGGTGGTCAGGTCCCAAAGAAACGCTGGACAAATAGCTAACTGTGGTGCCTATTGGCATACAAAAGCCCACGTGGCCAGGCTCACCCAGCACACTTGACTCCACACCACCCCCCTACCCTAAATCTCTCCAGTCCTTGCGTTCTCTTGGTCCTCCGCTCTTGGATTTTCTCTCTCTCTCTCTCTCTCTCTCTCTCTCTCTCTCTCTCTCTCTCTCTCTCTCACACCTTTGTCCTCCCCCTTTTCCTCTCTTGCTCTCCTGCTCTCCTCTCATGGCAGGTTGAGTCTGCTGGTTGTATTCAGTCGGCTGTTTTCTCTCCCTGCTCCTTACTCTTCCGGATGCCTCTGGCTATACCCTCCCTAATAGCTACAATAAAACCTTCTCCTCAGCTGCACCTTAAAGCAGTCTTGTCCTCATTTTCATTCACTGGTGGTCTCCACTGACAGGGTTCAGAAAGCGCCCTGGAAGTTCCGGGTTCTTGTGTCCCAGATCAAAGAACTGGACAGAAACATGCAAATAGGTAGATAGCCGCAAGCAGGGTAAGACACGCTGTTGGGAAAGATATACCGGGGCTGCAGAGCGATGGCTTAGAGGTCAAGAGTGCTTGCTGCTCTCACTGAGGACCCTGGTTTGGTTTCCAGCACCCACAGCGGGAGGCTTGTAACCCCCTGCAAATGCCAAATTCAAGGGTCCAACGCCTTCTTCTAATGGTATACACAGACATTGCACTCACTTGCACAAATCCACACACACACATAATTTAAAATTAAAAATAAAATCTTTCTTTAAAAATTAGAAAAATAATCCGGGCAGGGGTGGTGCATGCCTTTAATCCCAGCCCTTGGAAGGCAGAGCCTGGAGGATCTCTGAATTTCAGGCCAGCCTGGTCTACAGAGCAAGTTCCAGGACAGCCAGGGCTACTCAGAGAAACCCCGTCTGGAAAACAAACAAATAACAAAAAACTAAAAACAAACAAACAAAAACAAACAAAGGAAAAAAAGAAAGGCTGCACATTGCAAGAGAAGAAATGGGCAGAGAGTAAGTTCATTAGCTCTAATAGCTCCACCGCCCAAAGGATTGGGCTTTTATGTGACATTCCTTGAGCTTTGGAACTCATTTGCACAGTGTGGGGTTTTCTGAGCATGTTCCGTCTGTTGCATGTAGTTCTACATATAATTTCATTCATCACATGTCTCATTAGCTGCTTAAATTTCCATTAGGTTTGTGCGGTTCAGTATCACAGTGAGCCACGGGTCACCTTCAGCAACTCCACGGTGCCTGTGCATTTGTGCCAATGGTTTCTGCCAGTTTTCGTCGGTCTTGGGTGTGTGTGCTCCAGCCTTCCTCTTTGCCAACTGTTTTCGTCTGCTTATTTTGTGAGGCTCCGTACAAGGCATTCTGGACCTCACTCTTCTCCACCCTACCCCCACGCTCACTGGGATTGCAGCAACCAGGCCAGCTTTAACCTCTTTTAAAACCTTAGCAGTTCAGGGTCATTTCAATGACCGAAGGGGTATGTGTGTGTGTGTGTGTGTAAGAGACAGACAGAGATATAGTGGGTTCTCCCTATGTAGCTTAGGCTTCTCTTAAACTCATAATCTTCCTGCCTCAATTTCCCAAATTCTGGAATTACAGACATTCAACACTATGCCTAACATGTGAGTGAACTTACATTTCCATTTTGTTACCCATTTAAAATTGATTTCTGTATTTTAAATCTACTCACTTATATTAATTTATATCAATTACACTGACACTTCTCACAAAATGCAAACACGTGTATATAAATATCTTGTAATACGTAATATTGTAATATTTCTCTTTAATACATCCATCAGAATGCACACAGTGGATAAGCTGAAGACATTCACCTATTGAAGGGACACTAGCCTACTTGAGTCTGGCTCTGGCAGGCTTCACCCTTTTCCCCAGTTCCCTCTGTTTTGCTAAAAAATCATTAGATTACATTCCTAAAGCTCGCCCCCCCCCCCCAGTCCATTTCCTTGTTTGGCCAATCCCTTCTCCTGAGGCTGACTACCAAGGTCCAGCTATCAAAGTACTGAAATCCAGCAATCAGAAGCCGCCTTTGGCTCACCTAAGAAACATGCCCAAATAAAATTAAACACCTTATCCTAACCCCGGGTTTCCCCCTTTACCTTTAGAAATCACCATTTGCCTATGGGCCACGTCTGTCTCCTCTCTACCCAGAGGCGATCCTTTGTCCCTCTGGGGCACATAAACCTCCTTTGTGCTAAGAACTTGGTCTTGGGGGTCCTGAGCAATGCTTTTCCTTTCATCAATACCTTAGAAAGTTACCAGCAGCCCAATCTCCTTTGCCTTGTATTATTATTTTTTAAATTTTATTTTCTTATTTATTTATTTATTTTTTAAGTACATCCCTACCAGGTTCCCTTCCCTCCACTCTTCCTGGTGTCCCCGCCCCCACCCCGCTCCCAGATGTGACTGAAGATTTTTAAAGAGGATGACACGTCCAATACTTTCAAGTTTTTGTTTCCATTGCATGGAACTATAAATCTGGAAGTCAGCTAGGGAGAAAGTCAGGAATACATTTACGCAACCTGAATTATTTGCGAGCTCCGCAATCGGCAGGGGCGGTGCTAGCGTGGAAGATGTAGAAAGTCCCGCGGAAGACTCTTATTTAGTGGGACCGTGGAAGACTCTTATTTAGTGGGATGAGTAGATACTGCACTAAGACCCACTCTTGGTGTAAAACCCTAAACTGGGCCGCTGAAGAGGCATCAGGCTTGGCAAGATGGAAAGTTCAATACTGGATGGGGGAACAAAAAGACATCTGGTGCTGGGAAGGGAGGCTTCCCTTACCACGCCGGCAGTGCTGGGCACTGTCCTGTGTATTGACAGCAGGACCTTGTTCAGTCCTGTCTTTTCTTGGTGCCACCCACTGTCAGATACTCACCCCAGTTCCGGCGACAAGGTGCAAACGCAGAGCCCAGAGGACTGAGCAGATCCCTTCTTCAGTGTCCTGATTCAGTTGTCTTTTATTCCCACAGAGTCAGCCCCAGGTCAACCAGTTCTTGCCACCAGAGGAGTGGGAGAAAAGATGGAGGAGGGGCAGCGGAGACTTGACTCCTACCGGAAATGATGAAGCCTCCCTGCAAAGGTCAGCAATAGGGGTGGTGCACGCCTTTAATCCCAGCCCTTGCAAGGCAGAGGCTGGAGGATCTCTGAATTTCAGGCCAGCCTGGTCTACAGAGCGAGTTCCAGGACAGCCAGGGCTACTCAGAGAAACCCCGTCTGGAAAACAAACAAATAAACAACAAAAAACTAAAAAACAAACAAAGGAAAAAAGAAAGGCTGCACATTGCAAGAGAAGAAATGGGCAGAGAGTAAGTTCATTAGCTCTAATAGCTCCACCGCCCAAAGGATTGGGCTTTTAT